CATTTTGTTTCCACTTACTTTTAAGTGTGAATGGATATTGATTTACATAAAACAGAAACATTGTCTCTGAAAATGTAGATTGGTTAGAGATCTGGTCAACCAACATTGTCTCAAGTAACATAGATAACTTCTGCCGCTCATGGCGTTGTGTGCGCAATCTGTTGGTTAAGTTTACATTTATAAAATAGCAAACCCAGCAGATGAACCTGTCCTATGTTGAACTGATTTGAGTCTTTATTTTATTTTTATTGTCAGTGGTTCCATTGTCGATGGTTTCGCAAACACCGGATATCATCACTATTAGATAGTGGTTCATAAGTGGCCAGAATTGCTCATGATATAGCCAGAATCCAACTTTTCACAGATATTTCTTATGTATATGGAAAGTGTTGTGTTGATTTTATTTTCTGGTGACATAGCTAATTATCACCGGATGTTAGATAAAGCACATTGGATTTCATTTTCTGTGGTTTCAAGACAGGATTCGATCTAATTGAATTCACAACACTAGTAGTAATACTGTTACGTGTCAATTCCCAAATTGAAACAATATATTAACGCAGAAATCTGTACGTAAATGAACTTAGTGTGAAACCAACAAACAACCAACAAATGGTAAATACTTAACAAGTGTATTACAAAATTAACCAGGTTTACACATCAATGCATCAAATACTCGCAAATTACGGAACACCATTTGCAATGGCAGTACACAATAGGGTGGTAGTACAATATTAAATGACAGTATATAATATGCAGTGGTCAGTATCAAATGCAAAAATACGGTGATAATCATAGATTCACCCAGGGGCAAGAGTGGTCAAGCTTCCGAGATGGACCTAAGCAGGGAATACAGGGTGATCTTCACATGGAAGCTGGTCTTGATGTATTATCAGATGAAAATGTGTCATGACATGTGCGAGAGATGCTGTAAAGCTCTATACAATGCTGGGCGAATTTCGCTGTTTCCAGCAGTTACCACACCACCGTAGCATCAAAATATAGTAACTTCCTGACGACTGTTTACATAAAATAGTACTATGTTCCTGACGCCTGACCACTGTCCAAATTTAATGCAATGAGCGTCAACCGAATCGCAACAGAAACAATGCAGCACAGTTACACTCATTGTTCAATAATACAATACACTGGCATATAACAACAATAACAGGTCCTTGTATACATTTACATTTGTATGTGTCTGAAACAACTCGTTAAAGTAAATCATATTTAAATATAAATAACCCAATGAGGTGACGCAAATAAACATGAAAGTGGGTGTTATTTAATGTCACAGTATGTGTTACTGCTACAACACAGCAACCTCTGTATAATCAAATCTAGACAAGACCAGGCCACTGAATGAAAGCATGTGCAACCCTCTACACCGTTGGAATACGGAGACACAACACTAGCCACAGAGTCTGATAATAAATTCCCAAGTACTGTCGGATCCTGCCATATGATGTCCTGCAACCGAACAAACTACACCATCATGCATCAAGGTTAACTGGAGGCACTGATATACATATACAACTATAACTGAGGTATGGTCTCATTAAACGTAACTAAATGAGAAACGTGTCTTTTCAAACAAGGTATATTTGGCATAAATGTGGCATATTACGCCAGCTCACTGAGCTTAGTGTATCATCACAGCTCTAGTGGACAGACCGCTTGGCTGGAAAACGGAATGTCGTGGCTACACGGCCTCATCCTTCCAAAAGACGTTGAAAGATGACACTTGTTGGTTGCCTACCTGGCACTCGGTTGTCTAGGACTCGGGCCATCAGTTCGGACTAGTACACAGTGCCAGTGGCCATAAATAAAATGCAATGTAGTATAGACAGGCCCCAATTTAACGGTACACCATGTCGCAGAACAAAGATCGAGATATCACAATGACTTCACTCACTATGAGGCCCAGTGAATTTCCTTTAATAAGACATACTTCATTCTGAGAATGATTCAAGTTGTGATTTGGCTTGCACTTGTATAGATTGGCCACTTTCTTGTCTACAGGCAATCAAATCTAGCTCTTCACGTCATCCATTTATTATCCCCCGCCACGAAGCGGAAGGGGGATATAGGAATGGGTGCCGTCCGTCCGTCCTTCCGTTCTTCCGTCCGGCCGTCCTCCCTCCGTCCGTCACATTTCGTTTCCGGAGCAGATCTTGCAAACTGTACCATATTCCTTCACCAAACTTGGCATATAGATCAATCTAGTGGTGAACTGGTGCCTTTTGATAGTTTGGGATTTTTAAAAAAAATATCTTTCGAGTTTCCATGGCAACGACTTTGATTTAGAATGAAAATGGCAGTAGTCCTCGTTTCCGGGGCAGATCTTGAAAACCGTACTATATTTCTTCATCAAACTTGGCACATAGATAGATCTGGTGGTGAACTGGTGCCTTTTGATAGTTTGGGATTTTTAAAATAGTTATTATTCGAGTTTCCATGGCAACAACTTTGATTAAGACTGAAAATGACATTAGTCCTCGTTTCCGGAGCAGATCTTGAAAACCGTACTATATTTCTTCATCAAACTTGGCACATAGAGAGATCTAGTGGTGAACTGGTGCCTTTTGATAGTTTGGGAATGTTTTAAAATGTTATTTTTTGTTTCCATGGCAACGACTTTGACTTAGACTGAAAATGGCGATAGTCCTCGTTTCCGGAGCAGATCTTGAAAACCGTACTATATTTCTTCACCATACTTGGCGCATAGATAGGTCTAGTGGTGAACTGGTGTCTTTTGATAGTTTGGGAATTTTTTAAAATGGTATTTTTTGTTTCCATGGCAACGACTTTGACTTAGACTGAAAATGGCGATAGTCCTCGTTTCCGGAGCAGATCTTGAAAACCCTACTATATTTCTTTACCAAACTTGGCACATAACGTCATCTCACAGTGTTGAATACATTTCCTTTCTTGTTGGTAAGTTCTGTATTGCTTGAGTGTATGTACCTCCAAAAGTGTCATGGACACAGTTGTTGCATTCACTGACTAACTTCATACAGAAACACAACTTATTACAAATACAACAGTGAAACTGATCTTAAACCTACTCAACTGTATAAACAATATATATTCTTGTCAACCATACTCTGTACTTCACTTGCTTGATAATGATGTTAGAACATACACCGAAACCATCGCTCCTAATTGTAATAAAGAAGTTGTTTGTCCATATGTCTCATCCTTACTCATTACAAATTCAGTAACAAATTCTATCATAAACTGCAGATGGAAAAATAACACCAATAATAACTTTTTTTTAGTGCTGCAATTAGGCCATTTACAAAAAGGCCCAGTGAACATAGTTCACAGGAGCTAATGTATTGCACACACCCGACATGCTGGCCAATACGACATCGTCTTTTGCTGGTTGCCAGTCATGCTGGATTCACGGGTAACACTATGGCTGATGATGCAGCAAAGGCAGCTCTCAACAAATCTGTGACACCACTTCTGCTACCATACAGTGACTACAAGACTGTCATTAGGTACTATATCAAAGATCTAATGCAAAAGAAGTGGGACAACCAAGTAGGTTCTAATAAATTACATGCAATAAAACCAACTATCGGTTACACTTACTTGGGTTGTCAGTCCAGATTTGAAGAGGTCATTATGCGACGATGTCGTATTGGCCATTCGCGTTATACACATGTGTATTTATTGCAAAGTGAATATCCTCCATTCTGTATCCCTTGTGATGAAAGAATCACAGTCAAGCATGTCCTGCTTGACTGTATAGATTTTTCCATCACAAGGGATAATTATTTCCAGGTTTCATCCATAAAGGATCTTTAATGTAAGCTCTCATTTAATTCTTGGATTTTTTAATGAAATTGAATTATTAGATAAATTTTGATTATATATATTGTAAAAAGTAAGTGATTTTAATTTGGTAGAATGATTCGATAACTGTGATTGTTTATGACTTTACCTTCAAAGGGGGTTGAAGTAACGTAAAATAATTGTCCCCCTGCAAGAGTATGTAAGAGACAGTTCATTCAAAGTATGTTTCATTTCCATGTTTTTAATCGTAGGATTCTTATTGTTTTTAAATGATTTCGCTAAAAACTTTCTAACAATCACCAGTGGCCAGAGGGATGGTGTAAATCCTGCTTTGGTACCATGCAGGAAGCAGATGTACCGTAAGTCCCCATGGTCCCTTGTATGGTGACCTACCTTTGGTTATTGGTGATCTATAGCCCATTTTTATTGTGTACTGTTATGAATTGTTCAAATTTTATGATGATATGCTAGTTTTAAATCTACATCTGTGATAGTCAAGTGTTTCACTGTCCTTTGTCGACAGATTTTAATGTCTATATGTATGTATTATTCCTTATAACTTGTTTAGTCACTATATGGCTGAAATATTGCCGATGTGACTTTAAATTTTAAGTCACTCACTCAATCACATAACTATTTCCATTATTAATTTCCATCCCACCTTTATACATTCTCCCATGTCTCCCTCGTTCTAACTCTCCTATGGAGAAATAAGCAATATATATCACCAAGCCTAATCAGTAATCCACGGAATCGGAACATAATGGCAGTCAATCAGCCATGTCACCGAACGATAGCACCTGATCCTATTTAGTCAGCTCCCCAACATCAGAAACTGTAAATATTTCGCTCCATGCTGCAAACTCGGTGGACTTATCTACCAGTAATGCACCTCCAACAATGTCAACAGGGCAAGGTTGTTCATGGAGAAAATAAAATACAACAATTTGAAATATTTGGAAACTGCAGGTGGCCACTCTAAATTCCACTCAACTGATAAAAGTAGGCATGCAAAGCTTTGCTTCAGAATGATAGACGAACACACCCTGTTCTATTTAGACAGAAAGTTGCATATATATACTGAACAGCACAGTGAGTCCTTGGTGAAGATTGCAGCTCGTGCCCAAGTGTGAGAAATGAGCAGCTGTTTGAGAAGTATGATGAAAATATTGGTCTTACACTTGTTAATCCTAGGAATGGTCCATGCAAAGAAGAATATTTTATTTTTAGTTTCGGATGATTTGAGACCCGATCTTGGTGCCTATGACGGACCAGATGCGCCATCTCCAGTTCATCCAAAGATGCACACACCAAATATTGATGCGCTTGCTGCTAGATCCCTCCTTCTTAAGCGAGCTTACGTCTCAGTGGCTTTATGCAGTCCAAGCAGGACAGCCCTCCTGACCAGCAGACGCCCTGACACAAGCCACATCTGGCTAATCGGACCTTACTTTCGTCAGTATGGAGGTAATTTCACTACACTGCCCCAGTATTTCAAACAAAATGGGTACAGAACCATAGGAATTGGGAAAATATTTCACCAAGGCGCATCCTCCGGAGGTGACGATCCTGTTTCATGGACTGATCCCTACACCCATGCTACTGATGCGTACAGAACTAACAATCTTCTTATTGAAGCGGTCTCCGAGGAGAGAGCTAAGGCCCAGCCACTACAGGATCAGATTTTGGCAGAGTCTGCCATTCTGGCACTAAAGAAGGTGGCCCCAAAAGCTAGGTCAGGTGAGCGTCCTTTCTTTCTGGCTGTGGGTTTCCGTAAACCCCATGTTACGTGGAACTTCCCCGCACGCTTTAAGGACTACTATCCTCTGGAAAGTCTGAAGCTACCACCAAATTACTATGCTCCTGTAGGAATGCCTGCCATTGCATGGAATAATTTCAGTCGCCTGGCACGCTTCAAAGATATGCAAACCTATCACTTGACAAATGTTGGGAACATTAACTTTACATTTCCAACAACACTTACTCTGGAAATGCGACAAGCTTATTACAGCTGTGTGAGCTACGTAGATTACGAGCTTGGTAGGGTCATTGACGAGCTGGATAACTTGGGTTTGACCAATAATACAATAATAGCCTTCTGGGGGGATCATGGATGGCAATTGGGGGAACATTCTGAATGGGAGAAAGAGACGAACTTTGAGGATGCAACACATGCCCCGATGATGATTCGTGTTCCCGGGGTCACCGATCATGGTGTTGTCACTGAGAAACTAACAGAATTTGTTGATCTCTACCCTACCCTCGTGGAGGCTGCAGGACTTCCCAAACTTGGGCAGTGTCCACCAGACTCCCAGAATGTCAGTCTGTGCACAGAGGGTACAAGTATGGTGCCACTTATGACGAACCCGACACTGGAAGCGTGGAAAACTGCAGCATTCTCCCAATACCCCAGAGGAGGCAACGGACTTGAGGGGGACATTGTCATGGGTTACAGCATGAGGACAGAGATGTATCGCTACACAGAGTGGATCAACTTCAAAGGCAGGCCTATTTATAAACCCATGTGGGACCAACTACAGGGAGTTGAACTCTATGATCATACGAAAGATCCAGAGGAGAATTGGAACCGAGCCGAGGATCCATCTTACAAAGACGTCAGGGTCGAGTTGTCCAGGAACCTGCAGTTAGGCTGGAGAGGGGCTCTACCTAGCAGACACGTCGGACATCGTCAACACCACCTGTAACTACATTTACTGTCCATAACTTCTCATGTCATAAATTGTCATTATGCAAAGAAGATATGATTAAATATCATTGTTAACCAAGATGTGGTTTGCTCATTTTGTTTCCACTTACTTTTAAGTGTTAATGGATATTGATTTACATATAACAGGAACATTGTTACTGAAAATGAAGAGTGGTTAGAGATATGGTCAACCAACATTGTCTCAAGTAACATAGATAACTTCTACCTCTTATGGCGTTGTGTGCGCAATCTGTTGGTTAAGTTTACATTTATAAAATAGCAAACCCAGCAGATGAACCTGTCCTATGTTGAACTGATTTGAGTCTTTATTTTATTTTTATTGTCAGTGGTTCCATTGTCGATGGTTTCGCAAACACCGGATATCATCACTATTAGATAGTGGTTCATAAGTGGCCAGAATTGCTCATGATATAGCCAGAATCAAACTTTTCACAGATATTTCTTATGTATATGGAAAGTGTTGTGTTGATTTTATTTTCTGGTGACATAGCTAATTATCACCGGATGTTAGATAAAGCACGTTGGATTTCATTTTCTGTGGTTTCAAGACAGGATTCGATTTAATTGAATTCACAACACTAGTAGTAATACTGTTACGAGTCTATTCCCAAATTGAAACAATATATTAACGCAGAAATCTGTACGTAAATGAACTTAGTGTGAAACCAACAAACAACCAACAAATGGTGAATACTTAACAAGTGTATTACAAAATTAACCAGGTTTACACATCAATGCATCAAATACGCGCAAATTACGGAACACCATTTGCAATGGCAGTACACAATAGGGTGGTGGTGCCATATTCAATGACAGTATATAATATGCAGTGGTCAGTATCAAATGCAAAAATATGGTGATAATCATAGATTCACCCAAGGGCAAGAGTGGTCAAGATTCCGAGATGGACCTAAGCAGGGAATACAGGGTGATCTTCACATGAAAGCTGGTCTTGATGTATTATCAGATGAAAATGTGTCATGACATGTGCGAGAGATGTTGTAAAGCTCTATACAATGCTGGACGAATTTCGCTGTTTCCAGCAGTTACCACACCACCGTAGCATCAAAATATAGTAACTTCCTGACGACTGTTTACATAAAATAGTACTATGTACCTGACGACTGACCACCAAATACAATGCAATGAGCGTCTACCGAATCGCAACAGAAACAATGCAGCACATTTACACTCATTGTTCAATAATACAATACACTGGCCTATAACAACAACAACAGTTTTTCTTGTATACATTTACATTTGTATGTGTCTGAAACAACTCGTTAACGTGTATAATATTTAAATATAAATAACCCAATGAGGTGACGCAAATAAACATGAAAGTGGGTGTTATTTAATGTCACAGTATGTGTCACTGCTACAACACAGCAACCTCTGTATAATCAAATCTAGACAAGACAAGCCACTGAATGAAAGCATGTGCAACACTCTACACCGTTGGAATACGGAGACACAACACAACAGCATATGTGACATATGAGTGATCATATACTCCCAAGTACTGTGAGATCCTGCCATATGATGTCCTGCAACCGAACAGACTACACCATCATGCATCAAGGTTAACTGGAGGCATTGATACATTTCAACAACAAGAATATCTATATATTTCCGTACTGATGGAGGCCATGGGCCTCTTGTACATTCAGAGTAGTAGAGTCTATAACATAATTTGTTTTCTGTTTCTCAGAGTAGATACTTTGAGTTGTTTAACAGCGATGTGAATTTAAAGAAATTTGTTATTTTCAGGTATATACTTAGCCCTTAATGTTGCATAGAATGGGCATATAAGAAGGAAGTTGTAATCATCTTCAATGTCATTTAGGGCGCACAAGTGACAAATGCGTTCTTCTCTTTTAATACCCGTGTAACCTTTTACATTTAAACAAGATAAATACTGTTCGGGATATAAATCTTTTTATTTACCATTTTGTAATAAATACATTTGTTTGATTCAGATACAGATTGAGACCAATTTTGTAAATATATATCTTTAAGTCTTTGTGTTAAGGATCTTATGAAATATGAATGACATTGTATATTTTGTTCACACCAAACATAGCCATAACCAACAGAAAACAGCAACTTTTTTACGTCTGTTACCCAATTTCGCTTTCCATTTTTATCAAAGAGTACCATCATATAATAACATTTTTTCGGGAACCTATAAAATTGCATATTCAATAATCTTAACCAATATTTGATAACCTTTAGATATGAACATATGTATAGATTGGAAATCTGCCACAATCACCATATACCATAACACTTGGTGTATTAACTTTAACACCAAGGAATTTCTTGCAGGCATATAAATGTACTTTTTCTATTTGTTCAAGCTTACTGAGCCCCCATATCTCTGCTCAATATAGTAATATCAGACTTATCTTTAAATCAAATATCTTGAAGAACGACTTGTAAGTAATATTTCCAAGAGTAAAGATTTTTGTTTTAACACAAAAATTAATACCTTTTGAGCTTGCATCGGTGCTTGCTTTGCATGCATAGACAAACTAATATGATTTGTAAAGTATACACCTAAACACTTGTAGAAAGAGGTAGTTTCTAGGCGTTCCCCTTTGTAAAACCATTTTTCCTTTTGAGCAAGTTTCCCACCATTTTTAAAAACAACGATCTTCGTTTTATCTTTGTTTACAGTTAATTTCCATTCATCGCAGTACTTTTCTGGTTCGTTAATTTGTGTCTGTAAGCCACCAATACTACTTGAGAATAATACAATATCTGTGTTGCTAATTCATTTATAAAAAATGAGAACAAAAAAGGACTTAGAATGCAGCCTTGTCTCACTCCAAGTTCACTATCAAACATTTCCGTCAGTTCTCGGTTATTTCTGACACATACTTTTACATTTTCATAAATGTTACATAGAAGTTTGCTCATTTTACAACTAAGACCATGGAGTACAGAAGTGACCATATCTTATGTCGTGGTACAGAGACAAATGCCTTTGCAAAGTCAACAAATAGAGCATAGAACTTTCCACCTTTTGTACTTAGATACTTTTGTACGATTGTTTGTAGTATAAACATATTATCAATAGTTGTATATCCTTCTCTAAATCAAGCTTGGGCTTCACTTTTCCACTCCCATTTGGGAATCTGTGCCACATCGTCCTTTCATAATATAAACATTTAACACTGAACATAGATCTAACAGACATTTACCGAAATTATTCACAGTTTTGTCAGCTGAGAATCGCTGGACGTTAAAATAATCCCAAAAGGAGTGATGTTGACTTTCAGTGCGGTCAATTATGTCGTCCTCAACAAAATCGGGTTTGCTGCCTGTACGAGCATTAAAATCTCCACCACACAAAATATACACATTCGGGAGATGAGATAGGATGTCTATAAGTCTATCTTGGAATATTGTTATTCCATTTTTGCAATACAAGCCAAGTTTGTTATACCAGGATGACCCTTCTGGATGGACATACAAACATGAATATAATAAATCAGAATCGAGACTAAAAAGTGTTTTGTCAAATAATACAAAAACAGAGTTTTCTGTTATATTGTACCATTTTACATATTTGGAGAACTGTCTTTTTATCAATACTAATATCCCACCCCAATGTCTTCCACTCTGATATTTTATCCGCATCCTTACTAATAACTTTATGATCTGGGAAAGCATATTGTAGGTCAAAACTGTTAGTCCATGTTACAGTTATTCCAACTACGTCGAACGACTTTATGTAGTTCAAGAAGTCAGTTTCTGTTATTTTTGGTAAAATACCGGAAATATTCCAAAATATAAAATTCAAGAGTATGACCTAGAAGAGTCATATAATCTCGGGTGCTGTCTCTAACATGACCCTGGTCCCATTCCTATCTGGTATGTCCCCTGTAGGACGGGCGGGAGTTGGATCGGGTCAGTCGTCGCTATCCAGTTGTAGATCGCAGTGTCAACGTTTCTGTGTGGGTCGCGAGGTGTTCGGTTTTGCTTTATCTGTATATTCTCCTCCTTAGCCACCTCCACAATTATATTTCCTTTATAATAATACCTAGTAATTGGCTTCTCGGCTCTGAGTCTAAGCAATTACCTGTCCCTGTCTTATTGGGATTCTTAGTAGAGATACGACGTGCCTTGCAATGTCTCTTGCAGCTAGTGGTTGTAGACTTTTATGTAGTCTGGCAATATTTAGGACCTCGCGTGCCTTGTCTTTGCTTTCAGTGTAATTTTCGTCTTGTTTCTCCGGAATACCGTATAAAACAATGTGGTTTCGCCTACTTCTCCTTTCCTGGTCTTCCGATCGAGCTTCTAGGTCCCGATAGTAACTTTCTGCTTCCTCTGCCCTTTCACCCAGTGCGTCAATGTCAATTCTCATGATCTCTTGTACATCTTTGGAAAGTTTATCCTCCGTTATCTTAGTCTGGTCGATGATCGTTGTTTTTGATTCATTTAGTTCGTCACTTGTTGGCCCTTGGTTTAGTTCCACGTCTCCTGAAGTATGTATCATGGATGGTATGAATGTATTACCAGGGAGAGTATCAACATTGCATATGTCCTGTTTTCGGTATGTAAACAATGTACCCGTCGCCAGTGTCGTTGAAAAAGTATGTAAACTCTCACTCTGTAGGCCATGCGGACATAATGTAGGAGGAGGGATCAGCTTTGGCGATATGTCTTGTATCCATGTTGCTGTAGCAGATCCTAAACCTACCACACTTAGTAATACAGTCCCGCACAACAGAAGTCTGTAGGCAACCGCCGTACGTGGCATCCAGTCCGACATGGGGTTGTAGGGTTGAATGTTTCCTACCTGTTTTAGCCCTTTTGGAGGCTGGAATCTTCAAATTTCTGCTCGCCAAATCTCGATTGAAACTCCCATAGTGTTGTTTGGTCGGGTTTGTTGGCTTTTCTCACCTTAGAATAATTATTATCAATTTTTCTACTTTTCTCGGAGCTTTTGTTGACAGTGCTCTACTACTC